GAAAGGAAAGGAAGTGAATTCATCAAGAAAACGATAAAAACCTGGAGCCACTACATAAATACTGCTGCAGGGTTAACCTCAGGAACTTCTGTGTGATTGTCAGTTTTTAGAGGATGAGGCTCAAAACTAATGACCATTTTTGAAAAGAGATGACAATGAGAAGAATCTGAGAGTTGGCTGCTCTATATGAACTATTTATTGTTCATCAGTGGTAAGGGTTTTGCATTTTGTATGGTACAGTAACACTTTGCTTATGTGTTACATTTCTTTATGTTTTATTAAATTATAAAAATTAGTTTGCTAAGAATTTCCTGACCTCACAGATGGTCCCCACCCTTTTTAGAGGGTCTAGGGACCGCCAAAATTAGTAGGTTCATGGCACAAGGGACTTAATAAAATACCTGTAAAAGCCCTCTTTGCTCACATCATATATTATTAAAGTAGTTGGAGAACCTACCAAGCCAGTTTTGCTTTGACAAGAAGTGAAGGTTATGTGTGGACATAAACAGTTTCCCTCGAGAAATAACAGTCTCCCGTCTTTCCTCACTGTGCTGTTAAGTCTTATTTCTTAGCCTATTTTTCCACATGTGAATTTATCTAGAGGGATAAATGAATCTTTTCAGGCCCCACTGCAGCTTACAAAAAAAAAAAGAAAAATACCCTTTGGATTTTATTGTTGGCCATGTTTCTATGAATAAGATAACCAGAGGTGTTTGTTGTGGTGGTTTTGGAGGTGGTGGTGGTTTTTAAATAATTTTGAGTCTTCTTTGTACATCTTGGATGACTACTAAATATTGTGCCCTTTCCTGTTAGAAGACAAAATAGAAGATTCTTGCTTCATAGTCTGTTTCACAAACACCGTCACTTTAATTTCCCATTCATTCAGTGATTTCATTCTTTCCCTCTTAGTTGGAGGGATTAGGAGACAGTTTTATCCATCTGGCAAAGTTTTTTTAAAGAAAATGAAAATTACACCTAGCATCTAACAATCAGAGTGTCTTGGCAATGCTGAATTGTATTTATGGAAACACCCAAATGCTGTTTTTTTCCTTCATACTTGACCCAAAATTCCAGTAACAGCTACTGAGAGGTGGTATCATGAATGACAAACTCAGGAAACTCGCCATAAATCCTCCTCCTTTCTATGGTCATGAAAAAACGTGACTAATCAGTTGTGATAGTCTTGCACATGAACTCCAGATGCAATCTTAGAATCCATAATACAACCCTCCAGGCTGCCACTCTGTGGACAAGTTGGTCTGTGAGTTGAAACTCCTCTATTATACTGAGCCAGTGGAATATGGCTATCTGGCAGCATGGAAACCAAAACAATAATGTGAACATATAAAAATAAAAGTTTAGCATTAAAAAGTGGTTTCATGTTTATATATAAATATGAATATATGAATATGTTCTCTATATTAATCTCATAATGAAGTAAATATATATACAGCATTTTTAGCTTTAGATGTTATGACTTCTATTTGAACAAATGTATTTCTGATTAATTTTTAAGTAGGTCTAAGAAGATCATACCTCTGTTGTATTTTGGAGTGTTTTTTAGGAGTTTCCCATAACAATTTTCTCTATTTTGAAAGTATATTACCAAATAAGTGAAAATTATCACACAAGAACTAAATTGCCATATTAGAGTATTTCTATGACTATGATGCTTAGAAAATGTGAAAATTCATGAAAAAAATGCTATTTAGAGCCATTTGTAAAGAAGTCAATAACTTAGACACAAACAAGTACCCTAATGGTGCATACACTTTTAGCTGTAATTTATCATCACTAGGTCTAATCTCGAGTGTTACTGTCTGTCCCCAAATTGAAAATTACTCACTTATGAATAAAGGAGGATTCCACTTAATCTGTGTTCTCTAGAAGTAGCACAATCTGATGCTCCAGCTACTCACACTGGTTCTTGAACGGATCACTGTATTTTGCTTCAAATGGTTTACAGTCAAGATGTGCACAAATGGGGAGTACCCTGGTGGCCTAGTGCTTAGGATTTAGGGCTTCACTGCCGTGGCCTGAGTTCAGTCTCTGGTCAGGGAGCTGAGATTCCCGAGTGGGGTGGGTGTCAGGGCGGGGGTGGGGGTTGGGGAGGAGCAAAAATGTGCACAGAAAACTGGGCCCCAGAACTGTACAAGGTTCCAGTTTCCTACCTGGTGAAAGTGCCTCAGAGGGCAATAGAGAAGACTGAATGAGCTCAATCAAGAGCTTTCCTAGTGCCTGATGTAAAGGACACAGAATAAGTCTGCTCAGTAGAAATTAGCTAAAATGAAAGATTATGATAATGGTGGTGGTGATTTTTCTCTCAGTAATTTCTTGCTATTTCTATTTTTCTCCATTATGGAAAAATAGAAAACCCACTGTCAAGCAACTCTTAGATATCTGCTCCCCAATAACTGATCATCTCATTCATTCATTTATTCTGAGAATGTGGCTATCAGACAAACTTGGGTTTACTCTGGACAACCATAGTCTGCTTTGCTCACCGTTGCCTCATTGCAGTTGAAGGATCAAGATTATCAACCCTCTCAAATCTTGGTGCCAGAGAATGCCTCTCTCACCAATGAGTCACGCAGCTATTCATTTTTTTTTTTTCTAATCTGACTGCCAGTATCAAATTGCTTCTCAGGGAAACTTTAATCATTTTCTTTCCAAATCTTTAATTTTTAACATCATAGTGCATACATTAAAAAGAATTACTTCATGAGAAATTTTTTAGATTTCCTCATGATTACAAAGGAATTACTAGCAGTTATTTGGTCATTTTATCATTAATGCTTACCCTTTCCTTCAGTCTGCTTAAAACATTTTTTTAAAATCCTTGTGAAACTTTTAAAGTGAAAATGAACTAGGAAAAAAATTAAGTAGGTATAGTGAAAATGAACTAGTGAAAAGCTAAGAAGATACTAAAAAGACCTATTTTTCCTAGGATATTCTTCTCCTAGGATTTTCAAGTAAATCCTGGATTTCTTTCTTTAAAGTTACAGGTCTGGAACTTGTGCACCTTAGATCCTGTTGTTAACTCTGAGGTGGGAGACAGTGAACTGGTATCCTTATTAACCTTGGAGGAAGTAGGAGAGTCCTGGATATAAAACACCACTGACTTTTCCTCACTATGGTGGAGGATCAGGTCCAAAGAGGCTAAGACATTCAGACGAAGTCACAGCACTTGCCTCATAACAGCAGATCTTAAGGAGTAGAGAAGCACCAGGAGAAGACAAAGGATAAGCCTAGCACTTGGGGTCCTTTTCATCCAGGGATGAGTGAGAGGAAGAGCTAGTGCTCTAGGAACTAAAGAGGAGTTCAGTTTCCACCCACACTGGTGACCCTAGCTGTGCATAAGGGTGGGACCCTGTAGAGGCACCCTAGCAATAAGCGGAACTGGAAGTCGACCACTGCTTCTGACTCCAGCCCAGCTTCCAGGGATCTGGGTCATCTCAGTAAAGGTGAAAGAAGAAGTATGGGTGGTGTTCCAGCAGAATGAAAATGATTCTAGATGAAAGTATAGAGATAGAGGAAGAAAAAGAATGCAATCTAAATGGTAAATGTGGTACTATGTGATTAAATCTAGTTGAAAATTGCCTACTTACAAATCTACAGAGATGGAAAGCTGATTACCAGTCGCCAGGGGCTGGGAGCATGATAATGAGGAGTGACTGCTAATGAGCCCAGAGTTTCTTTTTAGTGTCATGAAAATGTTCTAAAATTATATTTTGGTGATGCTTGTACAATTCTGAGAGTACACTAAAATCCATCAAGTTTACACTTTAAAAACAGTGAATTTGATGGTATGTAAATTATCTCCCAATGGAACACTTTTTTAAAAAGAAGACAAAATATATGACATCAATAGCATGCAAATTAAAAGGAGGTACTTGAAGTGTTCTGAGGTCACTAAATTGTCTGGAAACAGTCATTAGGCTTTATAATTATGCTTTATGCTCATTCTATAGGAGTGTCATGCCACACACACGCTTTTTAAAAAGAATGAGAGGCAACTAAGCCAAAGGAGTTAATAACAACAAACAGTCCAGTTTGCTAATCAGTTCCTTCTTAAAGAGTCCCTAAGAAAACAGTGATGCGGATTCCAAGCATACAGAGTAGAAAGATAAAATTTTTATGCTTTCTGCCTAAAATAGTATATATGAGTCAACCAGTACAGTAGGAATAACCTTAGTAAACATGTAGATACAGATTACCATAGACAAGGAAAAATAAGTCTTAAATAAGATGACTGACTTACAGGAGGACAGCTAGGTCTATACAAATATTTAACTATTTTATAAAAGTTTTACTGTTGTAAACCATTTTCAGTGGCTTTAAATTAACAGAAGCAGGACCAACACTGTTTGGTCTGCCCTTGGAGTTTAGCAAATTGCTTGCACACCATAACAAATCAGATAGTTGTTAATTGATGGAATGGATAAATGCTTGAATGCATTAATAAGTGGATAGAAGACAGGATATTCTGAAGCTGGATATTCAGGATTTCCTGAAGGCATGAGGGAAATTCACTTTTGTCTTTATTATAATGTATATTATAAAGATCATCAAAGTTAAAAAAAAGGGAAAGTGACACATTTATATAATTTCATAAATTTCTAAGTGAAGTTGAATTGATTCATACTCTGGAGATAGGCCACACTAGAAATACGATTCATTTTCTACATTGTTACTTCTTTTGAGTGATATAAATCCTGACTTCTGATTTAGAACTGGTTATACATGCATTTTAGAAGGAATCTCTTAAAATCAGTACTCTTATTTCAGATACCTTGCAAATCTAAGAGCTCCAAAGAAAGAATATTCACAATTTCTTACTCAAAAGAAAAACTTAAAGAGAAGCTTTAACATTAATCAATGTCTCCAGTTTAACAGCATTTCTCATTATTCTTCAAGTGTTAAAAGAGAACAATTCCTAATATGCATTTTTTTGTTTTTTTTTTCCAGTTATTGTTAAATGGTTCTCTTCTTATATAACAATGTTGCTTGAATGTCAAAATAAACTTGGTCTTTGTAAAATTCAGTTTTGCCAGCTGTCAGCCTCGCCTCAACTTGAGGAGTTTGAACTCATAGAATCTTTACCATCTCTAAACTATATCTCAAAAGGAATGAGCTCAAAGAATGCCAGTTCTGCCCCACAAGGCTTGGCAAAAGTGGAGTCCAGGCCTGCTTGGGTCAGTGGTAGGAGCTGCCGCAAGAAGGGGTCCGCAGCAAACGGAGGAGTGGAAGAATTGAGACAGAGAATGGGTCCACAGCCAAGATTCACAGGAGGAAATGCCAGTGGTTATTTCAGTGCAGGAGCCAGAAAATCAGAGCCCTGGAATGAAGCGGAATCTTGGAAGAGAAGGGGAGCTGGGTGTTTGTGCAGAGCAACAGAAGCAGAGTGAACTCCAGAACATGCCACCAGGATCTACCTCGCCTCCCAGGGCTGTAGTGAGACCAGCCTTCAGTGACCTGCTGGCTTGAAGGACAATGTCCTCGGGCATCTCAAACATACCCAGCAGGTTCTGATAAACAATAAGACACAGCTCAGAGATACATGGGGAAATCATCCTGAACGGGAAAATCTACATCACAAATAAAAGTCTTAAAAGTGAGATTTCATTCCACTGAGGAATTTGGAATCAGTGGAATTAGGAATTGTTGCTGTTGTTCAGTTACCAAGTTGTGTCTGACTCTTTGTGACCCATGAACTGCAGCACAGCAGGCTTCCCTGTCCTTCACCATCTCCCTGAATTTGCTCAAACTCATGTCCATTGAGTCAGTGATGCCATCCAGCCATCTCATCTTCTGTCGCCCCCTTCTCCTCCTGCCCTCAATCTTTCCCCGCATCAGGGTCTTTTCCAATGAGTTGGCTCTTCACATCAGATGGCCATGAACATAATGAAAAGGGTTCATTAGAAAAGAGTAATATTCTCATATGTTTACTTTAAATTTTTTCTATATTTTCTATGGTTTTATTTAATGTAGTATGATGTGTGAATTAATGTTACTTTAAAAATAGTTATGTAAGCAATACTGATACTGTATCAGCCAAAATCTGAAAGGGTCACACCCAGAGATGATATTTGAAATTCCATCTTTAATGATATGTGAGACATGGGCAGTGGCCAACACTGTACAACCAGAAGAGGATCCAGCCTTAGTTCTGGATCTGGCATCCGCAAGCCTCCTCTGTGCCGGTTAAATGAACTCCTTATCGTTAGAGAATTAGGAGAGGAGGTCCCAAGAAGGGTGCTAGGCTAAGGCAGGAGAGGGGTGCTATTTGCAATACCTTACAGAATAATTTAAGTATTTTAACAACCTGTTTTACACTGCACCCTGATACTATCAACTCTGGGTACAGCTCACTGGGGATTGAACCCCAGACCTGCCATGACTAGCTGTGTGGCTCTGGGCAAGTTCCATAATCTGTAAAGAGCACTGAGGTCAAAATTATAGGAGTTAATTCCTATAAAGTGCTTAGAAGAATGTCTGACACATAGCAAGGTCTTGCTTTAGCCAAAATTATCTATTGGTATTGCTTATCTGGAATACTGTCCAGACCAGAAAAAAAAATGATTGTGATTAATTAACAGTACACTCCACAGGCGATGCAAGAGTAATGGCAATAATAAGTGCCATGGGCTTGCCAACTCTTTTCTAGTCCACCCCTAACCCCACCTGACCACAGTATGTATCCAAAGCATGAGTATATCAGTGACAAAGAAAAGGGAAGGACTCTCACAAGTCTGGCTAGTTAAGTCCCTACTAGAACTCAGTGATGTGAGCGTTGGTCATTTTTTTTTTCAATACCTGTTGTAATAACTGACTATTTTAAGGTTTGGTCAGGCCAGCATCCCTTAATAAGTTTTGTTCTGGGTCACTATCTGGAAACCTTGCAAGTTCCGTTTTTCTTTCTGATCCATCTTTGTGTTCCTGTGAGTTGATCTGGGAGGTGAAGTTTCCAAACTCTCCACCTGCTGGAGGCTGACAGTGGTCAGGTCTAAAGTGGGAGGTAACTGAAGACTGGAGGGGGCCTGACACGGGAGTCGCAGAGGTGGACCTGTTACTAACCTCCAGTCTGATGGGACCCTCTCACGACATATTAACACCTCCCAGGCCAAATGTCTTCATCCGATGTGTATTCCAGTCATAACCGAAATTCTTGTGCATATCTTATAAAATGAAATGATTTCACTAAGGATAATTTGGAATGTAAGTGGTCACTTTAGTGAACTTTTAGTATGATTACAATTATTCACCTTAGACATAACTTAAGAGCAAAAGGGCAAGACAATTTCTAATATTCACTGTGTTGCCTTTTGTGAAAAGCTTCTAACCAAAATTCAGACTTCAATATAGCTTCATTAAAAGATTTTTTTTGTCCAAAGATAACAAAAAACTGTGAAACGACTTAAGAATTTTTGGTTCTGCTAAATTCTTGTCATTTCCTAACCCCACCCTAACTCTTCTTCCTTTAAATACTGCCCCCCAGCTGCCGACTCCTTCTGTCTCACTTCTTCCAGCAAGTTTTTCCCTTTTGCCAAAGCCCAATATCCTTATACATCCTTCTTCTGTGTTTCCTCCCCGAAGTATAAGTTCTTCTAAAAATAAATCTACCAAAATAGGATGAGTAACAAGTTATTCTAAAAATAAATCTACCAAAATAGGATGAGTAATAGGTAGATTTTAAGCAAAAGGTTTTCTTCAATTCCCAAGAGAAAAGACAAAAAATTACCAAGATTTTACACTACTGTAAACTAAGAATTCTAGCCTCCTGAACTAAATCAACTGAAATAGATTAATAGGTTCTTTAAATGCGAATATCTGGTTCTATAATGTTGAGTGGAAGGCTTAGAAAAGGTTCTAGCATCTCCTGGTTTCTTCAGACAGAAGAGAAACATTAGAAAACATAAGATGTGGGACAAGGCTTATTGCATTTCCAGTAAAGACTGATTTGATATTAACTTACTTCATAAGCAAAGAAAGGGTAAATCCATGGGAAATTTTGAAAATCATCTTTTCACTTTTATCTGACAACATTCTGCATTCATCCACAGGCAGTTGCTTCTGCTGCATTACTCTCCGTTGTGTGCATGGCCTCTAGCTAGAAATAGGGAATTGGAATTTTGTACATAAGCAAAAGTTAGAATTGCTTCCCTAATACACTCATCAGATTAGGGCAAATATTTTGAGATGTTCTCAGAACAAGTAATAATAGCTTTACTAATTTAATAATGTGGAACCTGACTTTCATTTTTTCTCTCAAACTTAGAGAAGACTTATCCTTAATTATTAAGGACAGTTTTCAATGAGTGCTACACTGCTGATAATAAAACCAACTATTCTGTTCACCCTAAAAATTGGAGACCAAGAGAGTAGGCATCTCTTACTGTCCTCAGACTCTCCTGACTCCCATATTATTAACCTTACACTCCAAACACATACATACTGGATGCTGACCCCAAACAGTAAAGTACTGCCAAAATAATTATAGCACTGTTTCTGAAGCTAGGGATAACACAAGAGTATGGAATAAATAATGGAACTATCTTTTCTTCACTTGTTATCCTCAGAGCTTTCAACTTTACCAAGAACTCTGCTCTCCTTGAGAGACAGACAACTGGCAAATGTCAATCATCTTAAACAATACCTATAACACCAAGAGTACCTATACCTTTCTAGGATACTGTTCTTATGTAAAGACACTAAGCCTTTACTTATCTACCACACACAAATCTGATTTATGATTATGGGGCAATTTTTGGAGTGTGTGCTCAGTCTTGTCTGACTCTTTGCAACTCTTTGGACTATAACCCACTAGGCTTCTCTGTCTGTGGGATTTCCCAGGCAAGAATACTGCAGTGGGTTGCCATTTCCTACTCCAGGGGATCTTCCTGACCCAGAAATTGAAACTGGGTGTCTTGCATCTCTCCATTAGCAGGTGGATTCTTTACCTCTGTGCCATCTGGGAAGCCCCAATTTTTGGAGACGCTAACATATTCCAGATCCCTCCATGATATATGGACCATATCTCATTGAAGTGTGTATCCAGTAATTTACAAAGTGAAGAACTAACTACATACTCTAGAGATTTGCCAATTTTTAATGCACAATACTGTGTGGGAGGGTGATATAACTGGAAAAATTGTCAGAAATAAATATAACTTAGCCAAAGTTATAAAAGACACTTTGCAGTTAAACACATAGTTTTGGATAATCCAATTGCTTTTGACTTCCTATTAGCTAATCTAGGCAGGGTCTGTGCTTTGCTAACAATTTGTGATGCACTGGTCAGAAAGAAAAAGCTACCTCTAAACTAAAGGAGATGGTGTCTGAATCTCCAAGGTGAAACCCAAATAGACATTGGGAGAAGTGTTCTTGGCTTGAGTTCACTAGTTTGGGAGTGTGTTTTCAAAGAATTCTATAAAGGTTAATCATCCTCTTTCTTATATTCTTCATGTTGTATTATTAATACAATTGCCTAGTATAGAACCTAGAGTTTTAAGTGCTGCCATGCAGTTACTGTCATTTGACAAAACGATCAATAAGGTCAGAACACTTTCTACTACCAAACTCTTATTCTGAGGTGCAGAATCATCTGCATGTTCTGACAATAGCAAAAATCTGGAGTGAGACTACTTTTATGGCCAACCTCTGGACAGGTCAGAGAATAGCTAAAAGGGGGCTCTAAAACTACAGTACCATCTCTGTTAAGTGTGCAGTTGTCAACTCAGAATGTATTGTGATTTACATAACACTTCCTTCTTCACTCAGAACCTCATATTGCCTGAGTTAATCTTTGCCATAAGAAGTCACTGAAAATTAAGAAGACTCAGGGAGGGAACACAGCCACATCCATCAGCAGAAAATTGGATTAAAGATTTACTGATCATGGCCTTGCCCACCACAGCAAGACCCAGTTTTTCCCACAGCCAGTCCCTCCCATCAAGAAGATTCCACAAGCCTCTTATCTTCATCCATCAGAGCACAGACAGAATGGAAACCACAACCACAGGAAACTAACCAAACTGATCACATGGATCACAGCCTTGTCTAACTCAGTGAAACTAGGAGCCATGCCTTTCAGGGCCCCATAGGACGGATGGCTCATGGTGGGGGGTTCTGACAGGAGCTCCACTGGAGTTCCACTGGAGATGTGGAATGGCAAACCACACCAGCATTCTTGCCTTGAGAACCCCATGAATGTTATGAAAAGGCAAAAAGATATAACCTGAAAAGATGAACTCCCCAGGTCAATAGGTGTCCATTATGCTACTGGAGAAGAGTGGAGAAATAGCTTCAGAAGGAATGAAGAGATGGAGCCAAAGTGAAAATGACACCCAGTTGTGGATTTGTCTGCTGGTGAAGGTAAAGTCCAATACTGTAAAGAACAATATTGCAT